ATAACATGCGCCACTACAGTATTCCGGTACACGGTAGCTATCGAATTAGAGACATTCGCTTCTTCGACTGCCTTGAGTCTCGGATTCACTCCATAGATGAAACGAGTGACGCACTTTTCACCACGACCGGCCGAGAATTCTAAGAATTCGGGGTTAGCTCGGCCATACTGAATCGGCACAACGAGATGTTCTCCAGGACGTAGCCATGTGGTGTCTTTAACCCAAACGCTAAGATACATTCACAGATGGTCGAACTCAGGTCCACCATCTAGCAACGACGATTCCTCGTCGGGAAGCTTGACTACACCTTCACGTACACACAATCTCACTCCTGTAGACATCATAAAATCCATTCCGAGGAGACAATCTACTCCAGCCCCGATATTCCGAACCCAGACATCGAGTACATACACTACTCGAGGTCCCAGAGTAAGCTTAATCCGGGATTTGGCGGAGATGTAAGTCGGTATATTATCATATCCCAGAATCCGGAGCTTATCCTTATGATTAAGGCTCAGCTTCAACCTGCGTGCATGGTCGAAACTTATAATGCATGTAGTAGTTCCTGAATCCAAAAGCACTTGCACTCGTGTGTTGAATTTAGCTCCATGTACAATTGCCATCTTTCGTGATTTCTCCACTAAAGCGTGTTCATTCCACCATCCAAACTTTTCTCCAGGTTGTAGCGTGAACTCCAAAAAAAGATTCTCAGAGTTCTCGGCCGATCTCAGATATTCTGCATCAGAACTGATAGACAAAACACGTTCTTCATCAAGGGGGAACATGGATTGGAGGTTATTACTGCGCCTACACAAAAGGGCAGGGCCCACATATGCAAATGCGCAGTATTCTGAGGACGTAGGCTCGGCGAGCACTGATTCTCCAATCATGGTTTAACGGCTTCTAAGCCCCGGGACGTTCCAGCAAAAGGTGCTGTACTACTTCCGGGGAGAGGTTTTCTAGAGATCCTCCGGTGTTGATAACGTCGGGGACTTCCTTCAGAGCCGACCACAAGTCACAGAATCCTCGGCGATGGTACTCACCTCCCTTGGGACACAGTTGGCGTCGACAGAATTGGGTGGGGTGTCCTTCTTCACGGCATCGACCGCAAAGCAATTTACTGCAACACTTCTCAGTCGAATGAGTATTACTACCACACTCGGCACACCGTTTGTCCATCTACAAATTGTTTTCTCGATTTGATTGTTGTCCATTTCCAGGTTTCCAAGCAAGTCGTTCTGTCAGTCGGAAGATCGCTTCGTCCGTCGTATACTGGGAATGGACTGGAGCAGCTTCCGCTCCGGGAATAATACCGACTTAAACTGATTCCGAGAATTCCGTAGGTGGAAATTTAACCTCTTCTTTAGTTTCCACTTCAGTCTCGTATCCTGAGTCTTCTTTCGGCTGAGAATACTATTCCGGCTCCATCTCAGCTTCCGCACTGTTAGTTATGAAAGGTCTTCCTTCTGCACGTCGCTGTGGAGGCTTGAAACGTCCGAACTGTAGATTCTAAGCCGGACCCTTCTTTTGTTGCACCGTTTGGCTTTCTTCTCGACGCAAAGCCTCGATTCGCTTCAGATTCCTTTCTACCTTCATCATATTCTCGAATGTTTGTCCTTGCAGAGTTGTCTTCAAACGGTTATCACTAAGCGCACGAATAAATCAATGGATATGGGCTTCACGCTTTGAGACTGTCTTCTCAAAGCGAATACCGGCACTCTTAGCAGTCTTATTAAGTCGATACAGAAACATTCTGGGGTCCCTTGATCTCGCATTACATTCCGTAGTATTGTTCAGCTTTAAAACCTACCACTCCTTCTTGAAAACATGCGCAAGAGTCATCCAGTTTGATCGAGTCTCGTTACGTAACTGAGTACAACAATCGTTTAACGCACTTGACAGTCTCATGCGTAGCTGAGCTATCCGAGTATTGTCAGCCCAGGCCCCATCATGGAATAATACGTGAATCGGCTCCACCAGTCTATTCGTTCTTTCAGAATAGCATGTTCATCAAATTGCTCCAACGTGTCGTACGGGATCAACGTTGGAACCGTAACTTGCATTCCAGAACTCGTAGTAGTCCCAGTAGTTCCTTTCTGAAAAATCGGGCCAAATTTTCCTTCTAGATCATCTTCGAGAGTCCCCGTCTCCGGGATCATCGTCTCCTGGGCCTCCGGGTGTGTCGGATGTGTTTCCTTGGTTATTCTCAGATTTCTTAGACTGTCTGGTCATATTCTCAGACGAAGTCTTGTCCTTGGTCGGAACTCTGACATTTTGCTTCCCCAATTGACTCTGCAATTGAGCGGCTATGTCAGCTTGGTTCTGAATCAGCTTCTGGATTACTTCGTATATCTGAACCATCTGAGCCATTACTGGGTCTGTCGGCAATTGTAAAGTTATTCCGGATACTCTCGTGGTTCCAGTTGTCCCCAGAGGAGTCGATCTTGGTTGTGTTCCCGGCTCAACGCCACCATTTGTTGTCGATGGGTTAGACGACAACTGGCGGATCTTCTCTTCTCGGGTCCAGATCTTTTCCAAGCACCCCGCTGCATCATGCACACCTTGTACCTTCAGCTTCTGAATTTCGGCCTCAGATTGACTTCGAGCTTGGGAAATTTGAACGCCCCTGACTCTTAGTTCTTCGTTATGTTTGGCCTTCACTTCTGCTTCTCAGATTTCATGTTGCACTCTCAACACTTCACAATCCTGAGCCTCGTGTTCGGCTTCGTGCCTCGCCATTCCCTCATACTATGCTCAGAGCAGTTGTTCAGCAGAATTCAATTACCGTTGTCTTTCCAATTCTTGTACTGCAACCATAGTCGGGTAATTGGTTGAAACTTGATGTGACTGCAGATTCTCTTGCCGCTTTCTTTCCAGTTCTATAGTCTGTTGCGGGTGCTTCAACTGATTCTCGAATTGTTCGTGCTGATTTCTCTCAGCTTGAATCCGATTCTGGGCTTCATTACTCAAACGGGCTATAGCCTGTTGATGTTCCAGAATGAGTTGCTCTCATGCAGCCTTCAGCATACTACTGTCAGACCCTGAGAAATCGAACCCTCCTGAAACCGGGGGTCGATTCTGCGTGGGCCTTTGCTGCCTGAAGCCATACGACTGCGGTTGGCTCTGAGTCTCTTTTGGTTGTTCTGTTGGCGTGATAGCGACCGTCATTCCACCAAAACCGCTTCGAGTGATTGCTCCAGATGTTCTATCATTACTCGAGTGTTAGACATTGGCATATGCGTTCCAGAACTGGCCATGTAGTCAGTAGCTGACAGCCAAGACGATTCCGAAGAGCTAAACCCCGACAAGTCCATCCCAGAATCGACTCCAACTATCGCTGGCTCGGAATCCACTTGCATAGCACTAATACATTGACGCGTTTCTGACCTCGTAAACGGGGTCTGAAGCCTGATGCACAAGTACGTCGTACCTTTCACGGCTGTATTCCAAGCCGCCAATTCAATGCCAATGAAGTGCCCGAGTTTGCGGATCTCGTCCCTGACCCAGATATCTGGGATCCCAGATAGGGTTGGCCACCTATTCCAGGTAGGAATGATACTCACGAACTGGTAACCAGCTTCCCAGAGCATCGTTTGCAACAATGCCACACAGGCGACTGGGGGTACCAAATTCAACGATATTCTCATGGCTTTAAGATCTGAAATCACAGGAATTCTGCGACGCGCAGCCTGAAATTCCGTCAACCATCGTCCTGATGGTGCTCTCGTGATTGAAAGTATGTACTTAGCAGTAGTACCGGCTGCCGGATATACCCCACAGATCATACCCATTATGTTGTGGATTATACGCCACATCCACAAAGACCACGAGCTGCGGAGGCCGTTTAGTCTATCTTTCCAGTTGCGAACTTCCATAAGTCAACATCTCAATCTCAGTCAAGCCTGGTAGAGTCGCCAGAGCACATTCAGCTTCAGCATATTCTGGGACTCCTTCTAGTCTCTGAGTAGACGTGCCCACAGTACTAGTGTGCACTTGCTCATAAGTGAGAGGTCAACTTCCGACGTACCATGTCGGAAGGAGCTGAGAGAAACTCGATCAGCTTCTTGCGTCTGCGTCAAGCGCGAACACAAACTTCGCCGTGGTAAAATTTTCGGTCGTCGCGACAACACGTGTGCGACGACATTCAATCTTCCGCGTTTTGTGGACCCGGAAGTCATACACTGGGGGGAGACAACCATCTCGCCCGAAGGACGGTATGTGCGGCGACTTCATCGTTGCCCGCAAGGTCGCCTGGTCCGTATAGACCACGAACGACGTGTTGCTGAGTGATCGCACTCGGCATTTCTGGAGTGTTTACTTCATGACAAGGGTTTTCTTGTCATGCACTGGATCATCAACGCGCATCCAATCGCGAAATCGGATGTGTAAGACACTACGGGAAAAGGGACGATCTTGAACAACCACTGCCAAGATCGGCGCAGCAGCCAAGCCCAGCTTGGCCGCATCTAACGCTTGCTTCCACGCAGCGGCCTATTTCCGTGCTCGTTTCTTCTCCCCGTCCACAGCCCGGCTGTGAACGAATAGCATGTAGAAGTAGTTCGGTGCGAAGTCGCGCACCGAACACAAGGAATGCGTCGTGCACCTTGCTTGCTCCCGCGACGGGAAACTTCTTCCGCGGTACGAGATCAACCTCGTGCTGTAGCGTTGCGTCCTGCGGAAGCTCCGCGAGGGTCTCGTCCGAGAGCACATCCATGTGCTCTCGCAGAATATTGCAGCTCTGCTCGTCGAAGCGTTCCTGCTTCGTCTTGCCACCGAGAGTATCATCACCCTCAGTGGGGCTTCCAGTGAGAGTGCTTCAGCTCCTCCGCTTCGCTTGCCACTCTTTCGTGAACAGAAAGAATGCATAATTGTGCGATGCATCCATCGTACATATTCGTCGCGAAGCGCTTCCATCCCATGGCTCGAAGCGAGATCAACTCCAACGTCTATGTCGGAGGATTCTCCAACTTCATCTTCCTGTACTGATACCCAGTACAGGCTCATGTCAATACGTTTAACGTCTCGACGACCACCGTCGGCTCTTGTGTCTGCCCGGCAGACATACCTTGGAGAGTCTCGGTACCGGACCGAGACTTGCGCAGCATGTTGTGCTTGCGCCGTCGCTTCTTCTTGTGAATCCCGGATTCACTTGCTTTACGTCCAGGCCCGGCCATGGACGAATGTTCCTTGATACCAACGGCAGACATTCCAGTCTGCGGGCGATCGCCGGCGGGTTCTTGTACCCGCGGGCACGCGTCATTAAGCCCGGCTTGATCGCGCCCTGCTTCGTGCAGCCCGGCTGCACGACAGCACGCAAGCTTCAGTGCTGAACGTTTGCAACTGTCGATGCATAGTCGTCACCTCTACGCCTTACGGTGGAGTAGTGTGTTCGCAACTCTAAGAGTTGACACACCGTTGTCACCTCGACGCCTCACGGCGGAGAATTTCTTGGTAGTGTCTGATCCCTCACCAGACACTCCTTTTCTGTCAACGACTCCCGGAGTCGTTACAGCCCGCGCGCTCCACGCTTTACGACCGGAGACAGCGACGGGAGCCACTGTCTCTGAAGGAGGTTCGGATGCACCGCTAGGTGTATCCGCTGCACTAACAGGACCATCGCTCTCTGTTGCGCCGCAGCGTCCGAAGCGTACGACCGTACGCTTCTCCCAGTCGATAATAGGATCATGCCGTGCAAGCCACGGCATGCCCCCCCCACCCACCATGTCCAACGTGCACGGTACTTAGTCTCAAACGTCGTGACCAAACCGATTGACGAGATGATCAAGGTCGCCACGTTCATGAAGGGGCTGAAGGATGGGTCTGTGAAGACCTATCTTTTTCGAGAGTGCCCGAGTACTCTCGAAGCTACGATAACTCTCGCTAATTTAGCCTGCGGCAGGCTAAACTACATGTGAACGTTCTACTCCCGCCCGAACCGGCGGTCGAGGTGGCGGATGAGGTGGAAGGTCCAGAGCCAATGGACCTTTCAAGTGCAACTGCTGCGGGGCAGCAGGGGATGAGAGCCAACGTGCGATGCTTCCGGTGCGGAAACATCGGACATTATGCATGCGAATGTACGACACCAGTACAATCGGTCCTTGGTGGGTATCGTCACGGTCGAACAAACAACGCGACAGATTAGAAGGCGCGGGGTCCCTACTGGTAATGCAGTCATGCGTCTCTACAATGGACACGCGGTATGGAGACTGCAGCCCCAGTGAGAGGAAATCTTACTACAAGGTGCAAGATGACAAGCCAATCCTTGTCATCTTGAAGATGGCGTCGATGTCGAAGAGAGCGGAGTCTTTTCGAGTGTTGGCAGACTCGGACGTGTCGAACAAGTTGTTCGACAGCAATGTCTGCCGTTGTTGGACTTCGAGGAGAAGCATGTGCCTCGAAGTCAGTTGGAAGTACGATTGGCAACGGGTGACATCGTGAAGACCGGAGAAGGGCGTAATTTTACTCACACTTCTCGTACAAACACCGGGTATTTGTGGAAGAGCTTCTCGTCCTGGACTTGGACGACAAGTTCGCCGCCTGTGTGAAAGTCTTTTCTGTATCAGTGCTCGGCTCTGATACTACATACGTGATCGCAACAGACCCTGTCTGTGCGTGAGTCTTCTCAGTATCAGTACCCAGTATTGATACATCACTTGTGCTTGCAACGGGCTCTGCCTGTGCATGGTTGTTCGCGGTGTCTGTGCCTGGCACAGACCCGTTGCCATTGGTCGTAGCAGGTTCCGCCTGCTCGTAGTTCTTCACAGTGTCAGTGCTCGGCACTGACATGTCACCTTGGGCCGCAGCGTGGAGCTGTCTCGTCCGGGCTCTCGTTCTCGCACATGTCCTTACAACTGATATGTCCGTATCAGTTGTCTTCTGCGGTTGAACGACATCAACCGTAGCGCCCCTCTCCCACTTAAAAAGGAAGACACCCGTCTTCTTTAGATATCCGTCTGGCCACGAGTGCCAAGACCACATACTATCCTCAGAGTACCTCTTAGGAACAATTCCGGGAGCATCACTAAAACTCACCATGTCACTCCTTGTTCCGATAGTGAGGTTCCACTTCTCGACTCCCGAGAACACTAAGTGCATTACCCTCGATATGGCTACCACGAACATTTGTAGCAGTTGGCTCCGGGTTAGTACTTGATGTTCCAGAGGCAGAGCTTATAGACACATCGCGTTGGACCCCAGCCAATTCTGGGCTCGGAGCTGATAGATCTCGACGAGGTTCTTCTCCTTCGGCTGAGTTAAGCTTCACATCTTCTTTTTCTTCATCGTTTTCTTCATCTTTCTTCTTCTCAGGTGATTCGGTCGCCATCTCGACGCCATCAGAGTAGGGTGGTGCCTCAGGTTCCCCGTCCTCCACATTCTCTTCCTGGACTTCCGCGACCTCCATCGCTTCCGTGACTTGGGTATCTTCCTCAACCTTATTCTGGGACGTCCCAGTCTTAGCCGTAGGAGTCTCTGCTGGCAACCCAGCTACCTCTGACACTTCACCTCAATGAAGACTTCATCACCTTCTTTTCTTTACTGGTTTTCAAATCACTTGAACCTTGAGCGGTCGACACTTCCGTCCAAAAGCGTTCCCTGATTCGGGCACGCGCACCAGTTGTGATGCAACGGTGACCTTGCACACAGGTATGACCGGTCAAGTGACCACTACTCAAAAAGTACCAAATTCTCAGACCGGCAAAGGTCTGGGAATGGCGTGCGCAATCTCTCTTGTGACTCCTCTTGTTGATCCTTTCGTGCTACAGTTACGCTTTGGGGCCAGAAGTCTGAGAAACACAGCGACTGCTCTTGGTCTTGGGTGATCCGAGAATACACAGGCCGAGCGAGACTTAAGCTCGAGCTCGGCAGGTTCCAGTCTGGATATGCTTAAACGAACTCGAAATGACCCGAGTTTCTTGACATGCAGCACAACACGCAACACACACTTGTCCACTTCTCTTCCACGGCATTGGACTTGGTCGTTTACAGTTCCTCCTCTTCCTACGCGCGGTCAGAACTGAGACCGCGTTCCGGGATCGTTACTCTCCTCTCCGATCCGAGAGTGGCAGGGAGTCTACATTGGTCCGCCTTGGACCTCGACCATTCTAGAAATCTCTTCTTGTTCTGGGACATCGCGCACCACGCCTTCATTCGGGCGAAAACAGTCAAAGTCAACGATGGCTGAGAATGCACTCCAAGTCTCGCGCCAAGACAAAACACCAATAAATCGAGTGCTCCAAATGGAAGGTCACCTCCTTCCCACAAGTGCCAATCGAAATCCAATCAAACAGGCGTCCAAGCAGCACAGAATATGTCGGATTACTCCAACCGAAGTGTTCTGACAACCTTCGAATAATCTGAGATAGCCCACTCTTCATGGCGTGCCTGATGTGATATGGATCTTCAAACTGACCCTTCACACAACCTTAACTTGGAGCCAATTCTGGGACTCCTATATTGTCACTCGATTCTGGGACCCTTGGGAATATTCTGAGATCACTCCAGGTTCCAGAATTCCCAGACTACATCTCGTGTCTGGAATATCGGGACCTGTCATATTGGGTCTGAGAATATTATGGAAATTCATACCGACCCTTGTTCAGGAATTTACCACGTTTACCATATCTCGGAAACGTCTCAATTCAAAGGTCAACGACAGCTTGAACACTCCTCACTGATATTCTGAA